CTGACTTACAATTACAACGAGTACATAAAACATTTAATAACTGCAGTACGATTATATTACAAATTCATCATAAATCACTATATTCATTAAAATACAATTTCATCATAAATCTTTATATATATTAAAATACAATTTCATCATAAATCTCTATATTCATTAAAATAGTTTTAAAAAATAAATGCAGTACATATACATACAGTATAATTTCTTTATTTATATCCAACATTTTTCAATGTAATTTTTTCCACCTATAAACAGAATTTATTTTACTCAATTTTTATTAAAAAAATTTACGTTATTTAAACTATTACTTTTCTTCAGGAAAAAATATAAAAAATATTTACATAAACTAAGTAACAGACTCGTTACCTTTCTTCGACGTTGAATGTATACTGATTACAATCTATATACAAATCAACGTAACTCCTGTGGTACCACAATGGGCCAAGATTTGTGCTTAAGTAGGCTTTTTGGGATACAAGGCCGCCATTCCAACCAACCAACCAACCAACCAACCAAGTAACATGTTAATAAGTAACTTAATATGTAACATGTTAAGTAGATAGAATAGTATTATGAGAACGTTTAGTGCTATACTATATCACGTCTACAAAGCATTTGACATAAACATTAAATAAAAAACAACGTTCTAGTTTCTATTTTTAAATTTTTATATATTCTTGAAGATTTATTATCTTTATCTTATTTAATAATATTTATAAATGTTTGTAATAACCTGAATATTTTAATATTTTATTATTAAACTATTATTTACTACTCATATACACATTGAGTTTTTGTTGTATAAACAGAGCTGTTTAATTATAAAATTTGTCAGCTTAAAGACTTCAAAAGCTATACAAAAACTATCTCTAAATCATGTATGTATACAATACTACCTATTTTCATTGAAAATTGATTTGATTTAGTACAATACAAATTGATTATGAATATTAATCACAATACAGAGCGTATTAAAATCAAATTAAGTTTGAAATTAAATAACAGTAAAATACAATAATATAAAATTAAACCAATTTTTATACTTTTTTAAATCTCGGGTATAAAATACCCGATATATAGGAGTATCAATAATTTCATTTTCAACTTACTAATTTAAAAATTTGTATTTATTTCTTTTTATTTTCTTTCATTGACTTCATATTATTTCTATTTTATTTTTGAAGTTACCAAATTACTAATTGCCACAAAAGCCGATCACATCTTTATTTTTCTTATACCACAGTTTCTTCTTTTTTTTGGGAGCGTTTCTAAAGCGGTTTATGTCAAATTTAAAATCTGTCATTTTCTATGAAAAGATTTTAATATAACAAATATTTTCAGCTTTTGGTTTAATAATGTAGTTTATATTATTAATGTTCATTGTATGCGTGTGATTTTTTCTTAATTTTCATTACTAATTTATGTGAAGTTGTAAAGTCATTTTCAGACTTACAGATTTTTATTTTGAATTTCATTCTACAAATAAAAAATAAATCTTATATTATAACAACGACAATTTCTTGTTAGAAAAGTTTTTAAAAATCATATATTATATTTATGTACTACAAAAATTTTAAGAATTAATAACTTTAACAAATTTTAGCCAAATATTTTAATTAATTTTAAGAATAAAATTTTATAATCTCACCATATACACATTTTTTGGTAATGATAATAAAAAGTATATTATATAAAATTTTAATAAAATAAATTATACACAATGAGGTTGCAATTATGATTTAAGAAACTATTATTAAATTTTGTTTTTAATAAAGTATTTTTATTATTGATTCTGCCAGTTTTTATTTTCTCTGTAGGTAATTTGTTCGTTAATAACCTAGACAAAATACAAAAATAGACAAAATTTGTTCATTAACCTAGACAAAATACAAAAAAATACAATACGAGCGCTAAATGAAATTTCCCAGTGGTTTAAGACCTGGAGAATAAAAGCATGTGAGTCCAAGTCTTCACAAATAACTTTTACAATGACAAGAAATATATGTACACCGGTACGGCTTAATGATGTTTTAATCTTCCAATCTACCCAAGCGAAATATTTAGGGATACAGTTTGACACAAAACTATTTTGGAAACATTACATTTTTACAAAAAGAAAAGCAATTAGCATCAGACTGCTACAGCTCTACTGGATACTGAACAAAAGCTACAAAGATATACTTTAAACAATCTGAACTTATGGCATTGAACTCTGGAGAACTGCTGCATCTTCAAATATAGAGATAGAATAATCTTAGAATAATCTCAAATGCTCCTAGATATATGACAAATGAATGTTATATCGCGATCTCAACATCCCCGTACTTAAGGATGTTATAAAAACCCAAGCCAGAAATCAGAAAACACATATGCAATATCATACTAACCATTTTATAAGTAGAATTATAGCAGAAAGAAGAACGTTCACACGTCTTCGCAAACAAACGTTCGCACACGGAACTTTAATCTGTGACCGACTTTAACAGACAAATGTGCTACTGAGCACAGTCCATTCACTTACTGTTAAATATTTTTTATTGTCTATTCTTAAGTGACAGATCGCAATAAAAGAAAATAGATTAAAAATCTACGTCCCATACCTATACAAAAGTCCCTGCCCGCCGGAATCTAGCAAACATAATTTTTATAAATACGTCTGTTTCAAGGTAGATCGCGTAAATTTTATTATTGTAGCGTTTCTGGAATCATTTTTTCTTTACGTGTAGGTCCAACAATTTCTTGTTGTACTTTTCAAAAGATAATTTTTTTAGCAAGAGCTGCAAATTGAGACTAAGTCCAATATAAATTTCCTCTATTTACATCTACTTAGTTTTTGTAAATATAGTTTCTTTCCACATAAGACTTTTATTTAAGTCTATCCTTATATGCTTCAGACTAAGTTCTTAAAATAATTGTTCATTGCATACCGTGTAGGTATGTGCACTCACTGTTCTAATTGAAGTAAGTTATATATAGTACCTGGGTTGAATCGGATGTTATAGTTAAAGGTTCCACCTCTTGAGTTACACATTAAGATTATTTAATATATTAAAAGTTTTGTTAAATATTATTACTAAAACTTAGATAGTAAATTATGTTTAATTGTATTGACTATGATTTAGGAAAGTATAATTTATTATGCTGTTATGTTGTTATGCTTAGACAACAAATTCGAATTTGTAGTTAACTTAAAACTTATAAATAAATAATCGAATAAATAAATAAATTTCTTTATTTCAACAACTTTTTATAATAGAACAATTCATCTGGATGGCATTAAGTCCTAAATAGAGTAAAATTTTCTTACTAATGTTCAATTGGTAGCGGAAATATTCATGTAATTATATCAAATATAGATTTTGAAAATTTATTCCATAAATTGGGTTATTTCAAGTACATTTACATAAACTAATTAAAAATTTTGAAAACAAAATAGTGAAGTTCGTATAGTTTTGAAATTTGTTGAAATTAAATTAAACCATAATCGAGAACACTTGTATCTAACATAATTTTGTATAAATTTATTTCAAAACTCAATTAAAGAGAAATGCAGTAAATAAAATTCCGCAAAAACGTAATCAATTCTTTGTTAAAATTAATTTTTCCTCTTTGATTGCAACTATTGACCTTCGGGCTAACCAAAAATTCATAAAATGTAAAAATATTTTTTAATAAATTAGCTTTGAATTAAAATTGATTTTCAGATGTTTTAAGTTGTATGACACGATTTATTTAATTTCAATTGAATGATTATCAATTCTATTTATTGGGTATTTCAAATGAAATGGAAAGTTGGATGATAAGCTATAACATATTAAAACTTTAACAAATTAGTACATCAAACTGCTGAGTATTATATCTGTCTCTAATTGTATATTCAATTAACATTATGATCTTAATGTAGATAAGATAGGGGCATTCACTTTGTCTTACAAAGTCTAAAGCACTAAATGCAACAAGGTTATAGTAAAATTGCAAGAGTGCGAGAACACCTCGGTTGTAAAATTGCAACATTAAAATGAAACAGATGTTTTTGCGGCATACCACATCCATATGAGTAACAGCAGTCAAAACAGCTGTTTGTTTTTCCAATTTGTTTCGTTGTAAGCACATATACGTGGGTTTAGGAATAGCAAGATTACAAGCCATTACACCAAACTTTGTGGATGTATTTTGTGTTGTTTAGTGCAAGTTCAATCTGTGCATTTCGTGCACCTTACAATGAGTTTGCAAGACAAAGTGAATACCACTATTGTTATTACATTCTGGATACTTTCTCAGCAATTTGGTAGATATGTTTGATTCAACGATTCATTGCGAATGGTTGAACTACAACGAGATTGCGAGTGGAACCTGACCTTTAATGACAAAACACTGCAGGAAGGGCCCCCGGTCGGTGTTGGAACCATTGTTACATTTATTGTCGAATGAAAATAATAAATTAGAAGGATTCGAATAATAGAGAAAAGACAAGAACAAAAATTTATTAATTTATTGAAATTTGACTGATATTTATAAAATTTTCAATTCGCACTTTGGCTTACAGCTATGATATTTAACTTCTTCTCAATATCACAAACACCACTATTAGAACTCACTTGATTGGAATAAACGGTCACATTCCTTTGTATAATAGGAGTGTATATAGATAATATGTTTAACAAAGAGTTTCAGTTTAATTATTTAGAATAAACAATTTAATTTTTAACACAATAGGAATATTCTTATGCATATTGATTTCTTTCTTATTGTAAATTTTCACTTTATTGAGATGCGGAAATGAATGATTAAAGTTATGTTTTTTTTAAATAGTTTAAAGAAAAATAATAATTATTTTCTTTTATGAATAGATACTAATTACATAATACAATATTTGCTTTTATGTACATATTTAAATGAACTCATTTGAAATGCATGCTTTCCAAATCCATAAATTACTTCCGTTAATATTATACTTAAAAAAAATATTTAATATGAAAAAATGAAAATCTACTTACTTCAAACGTTCACGTAACTTTCGAAAGGCGTCCTTATCGCGCTCCAATGCCAGCAATATCCTCTTGCATTGTTGCAGACGTTTGCGCAATTGCAAATCGTGCACCTCGACGCCAATGCCACTGTCAAAGCTGCGGTCAAGCAGCGCTGGACTGCAGCTGCTTTTGCCACTGTCAGTGTCGATGGCATTTTGCTGTGAACTGCTACGGCTTATGCCGGAATTCAAGTGCGGCGTTGTTGGGCTTTCCTCATTGAGTGGTGAAAAAGATGCAACCGGAGTCAGCGGCGCGAGAGGTATGAGCGGCGTTATTGGTACAGCTTGTGGTATGATTGGTGCTGTGGGCGACTCCGGCAAAACCGTCATCTCTTACCGTAGTTTTTAATTACTTTTAAATAATTTTTATGTTTTTTATTTTAAATAAATATTTTTTCCTTTAAAGTTTAAAATTTTTTACTGGACACTGCATAATCATTGAAAAAAATTTATTTATTTTTTACTTTGTTTAACAACATTTTTTCTATTGTTTATGGTATTTATTTATTTATTTTTTCGTTTATGTGTAATATATTCCTTTTATCTGACGACAATATTTGTCTTTTTATCTTAATTACCTTTATTTATGTTTGCTGTTTGACTAATTATGCATACGTTTGTAGATAACTTTTTTTTTAATTTACGCAAATATTATTATATTGTTTACTAAATTTAAATATTTTTAGCAAATTTTATCAGCGACACCATGTACAATCAACGTATTCTGAGGCACTGCCTCTGTTATACTGTAAATGTTGAATTTTTTCTGCAAAGAATCAAAAAAAAAAAAAATAATAATATATTTTTATACAATACATAGAGATACACTATACATATAATTGAAACATTATGTAATGTGAATTAATAACGTTATTGTTAAGTAACATTGCTAATGCGCAACTTTATTTCACTTAATTTTATTTCAGATGACTACTTTGCGAAGTATGCTCCACACAATTGCAACTCAACTTAAATTTTCTGATGTTGTGGCACAATGAAACCTAGGTGAATGTGGAATGAACTGAACAGCTGATGAAGCGGAGCACACTGCAACTTGCATTTACTGCACCGTATCTGAAATCCATCTGACAAACTTGCTTTTAATTTATTTTTAAACTCTGCAGTCTGTGGGCATTGTTTTCATGCCCTCTTCAATGGATGCATTGCTGAACGTTCCGTTGGCCTAGTGAAAATAACAATTCGCTTGCTGCACCTTCGCATTTTTTTAAAATTAAGTGTAATTGAAACATAAAAAGCATTTTCTAAATATTTTTACACGAGTTTTTATTATTAAGCCTAATTCACAAATATCTATCAGTAATAAAATATATTTTTGAGATTAGATTTTAAACAATTGATACTAATAATAACGAAAATCCTTAATTTATTTAACACAAGAAGAAATTAAACTTTTTAAAAAAGAAATTATTATTAAGTCAATTTCACTAAATTCACTAATAAAATATATTTTAGAGCTTAGCTTTGAAGTTAGTGATACCAATAATAACAAAATTCCTTGATATATATTAGGATAATATTAGTAATATTAGGATAAGAAGAAATTAAATATTTAAGAAAGAAATTATTATTAAGTCAATTTCACTAGATTCACTAACAAAATATATTTTAGAGATTAGCTTTGAAATTAGTGATACCAATAATAATGAAAATCTTATTTTGTATCACCAAGCAAGAATTAATTAAATAAGAAAGGGATACAAATAAAAAGAAAATTTAAGACATATTTAAAATAATTAATGAATTTTTCAATTTTAAATTTAACGTCTATATTATAACTATTTATTGAAATAAAACATTATCCATTGCGTGATCCTGATTTCGCACTACTGTTTCACGACATATGTCAAGCAAGGTATATAAATCGTTTAACAGCCGCTGAACAGGTTGAAATTGTTAAAATTTCCATAAAAATAATAGTGTTTTTGCATTTCTAATTTTCTTGAGTAATGTGACTTATTTTTCGCGTGGTAGATATGTCAACAAAAAAAAATTATAGAATTTAGAGCAATAGAAAAAAAGCCAAAATTCACAAGTTACTGTCGGAGAACTATTCCATCCAGAAAAGATCAATTTGTAGCAAGTCAATTGGTCTAGAGTATTTTGTTAAAAATCACGAAGATATGACCATTAATTCAAATTACCATTGTCACATTATTTTTGTTTTTTTTTTAGTTTGAAATTTAAGACATTGATGTCGGAGATATGGGTTTTGACTTTATTGCGCTAAAAACTTAGTGTAATTTCACGTTTTATTAATTGGATTATGTTATTAAAATTATTTGTTACTAGTTAGTTTTTTGTTTCTTGGGATTATGTAAAGAATCGTGATTATATGTACACCATTCAAACTGTAAACATTTAAAAAGATTTTGATGAATATTCGTAAAGCTATGTGCCGACAAGTCAAGGAATGTTAAGGGAGCCAGTACAGTTATTAAAGTCCCGCACTTGCAAGAACCTGATTAAGATTGTTGGTTTATGTTGTCCTAAGCGTAGAAAATGTTGAATGTTCAATTAAAAGTAGTGTATTTTATTTTAGTTGGTTCTAATTTCTATATTTTACCGTTTAGGCCACAATGTTAAACTAACTAGGTGCCATCGTCTTGCCCTTAACTGAAGAATAAAAATTCAGTACTCTGTGATGTGCCTTTAAAAACATTCTAATTAGGTTGTATATCACAAGGTTAAAATAATGACAAGGTTAAAACCATATATTTAAATAACAATTTGATTGAAATTTCAATCATTTGTGTGTTTTATGTATATTTAATTTCAGAATTAATATATTATGTAAATTGAGTTAATTAGAATTTTTATTTTGAGACATTATTGAGCTATAAGTTTACATTATTCAAACCTAAATTTAAATAAATTTTATATGTAATAAATATTACTTTGTGATGTGTTGATGGGAATTTTGGAAAAAAAAGTTTATGTAAATGATTAAATTCTACTATATTTTCCTTGAATGCAATATTTCCACTTAAAAACTATATACAATTAATTTAAATGGATAAATATTTTATTTAATTAATATTGCCCTGTGATGTATTAATGGGAATTTTTGGAAAGTAAAGTTTAAGCAAAAATCCACTCCTGCTATATTTCTTCTTACATGCAATATTTACACTCTACGAATTTATATTAAATTAAATTAAACACTGTTCAATATCAAATAAATCAAATTATTGTAAATGTAGGTCCATGCTTTTAATAAAATTAATTTAAATTAAGTAATTACATAATTTGCATTTAAAGTGAAACCGTAATTACTCAAAAAAAAAAACCTTTAAATAATCTTTGAATAAGCTTTGAATAAACCTTTGAATTACGTTTTTACCTTACTATTAAATTCGTATATCTACAAATTTAACTTTCCAAACTATTTTTATTAATGGTGCATTAGAGTCTGTCGAACAAGTTTTATAAACAATCAATTTTTTTTAATGAAATATAACAGTACAGTACAGTATAATAGACGTTTTTCGTTTGTAAAGAAATTAAATTCAATTTAGACAAAAGTATCTGTTTGCATAACAAAATAAATTAGAAATATGAATTGAAATAATGTTAAAATTTTTAATTATTATACTAAGCCTAAAATGTTTAAGTTCAAATTATTTAATTTTCAAATAACACAAGATATTTAAATTTTTTAATAGATATAACTAATAAATCCCAAATTTCAGATGTCAATGAAATGAAATAAATTTAACATGAAAACAATGAAATTAATCATGACATGAAGAATTTAAATCAAACATTATTGGAAGAAATTTAAACAATGAAATGAATAAATATTTTTATAAGCATCTCTACATTAAGAAAACATTTCAAGAAAAGCTACACTGAATGGTTGGTTTCCTAAAAGACTACTTAAGAATTGCATAGATTTTAGCATTTCAGCTACTGAAGGTTTGTTCGCTAAGCCCACAATAGTGTGACGCAGACTGACGAACCATAAAATAAGTTACAAATGCGAGAAATTGAATGTTATTTTTTATTGTTGTAAATTTTTTCGTTTTATGATACTAGATACTTTAGTTTGTTATAGCTCAGATTACAAAGAAATAAAATTATATACACATGCATAAAATATTTTTTCTAAACTTATAAACTGTCAAGATAACTCTTGATTGTTGAAATCGATGACACCTCATAGACCTTAATAAGTAACTCGCAGCAACAGCACTTTCTCTTCTCGTTTGCTTAAACGTCCTTTTCTTCAAATCTGTAGAAGACTAAAGAATCTGAATTATTGGCAAATATTTAAAGATACAAATATTTAAGTTAAAAATAAATTATTCATGTTTTTCGTATTGTATTTTACTAAAATGTCTTCAGGCGAAACAATGTTGGTTGAAAAAGAATTCATTTATAAAAAAAATGCTCACAGGCAAATACAATCAATTTGACAAAGCAATCATTTAAGATTTTTATTTTATTTTTATTTAACATTAAAACACTTAAATGGTTAAGTGAATTAATTTTTTATTTTATTTCATTAAATCAAAAGAAGATCAAATAAAAATCGAGTAACATCAATAACATATAATGGCCAATTTAAACAAATTTAATTCAAAATTACTAAGGTGTAAACACAAATTTAGGAGAAATCTTTCAACTCTTAATAATGAAATAATGGAAGAGAAAAAAAAAGATATGCATGGTAATTTTAAAAAAAAATTAAAATTTTTCTGTTTATATATGTACATATATATTTGGTTTAATATAAATATACATATAAAGGGTTTAATAGATATATATGCATTGTTCCTCATTCCATGGTATAAACAACACTTGTGATAAAGATTTTGATCAAAAACTTTAAACTTTAAACAGTTTCCGATGCAGTTTGGTTTGGTATGTCACTTTAACAGTGATGCCAAATCAGTACCACGAAATCGATATAACATCATATATAGCTCAATGCAATTCTTGTTAAAAAGAGCTTCAGGCCTTGTGCGAGTTTGAGTAAATTGATGGTAAATTGAAGCAAATAGTAAGTTATGTCAGTATGGCAACGAATGTTGGTATTAACCAGAATTTCAAGTGGGATAAATTAGATAAAAATTAGGTAAATTATGTATTACCATTGTAAATATTTTATAAGATGTTTAATAAATAAATAAATAAATTTGAAAACTTTTAACAGAAAAATTATAAATAAGTGTAACAAATAAGTGTAAATAAGTGCAGTACTAAAAATCCCTAGGAAATTACAATTTACTTTACCTCAATTTACTTGAATTTGCACACGACCTTAATAATATTGTAATTTATTTGTTAATGAAATGTTTATATGATTTTAATGGATGACGGGAAGATTGCAACATATTTCCAGTTAACATTCACAATAGATTGATTTTTGAATTTGGTTGCACTAAAACTTAAAACGTAAATTTTTTTGCGAGTTAAACCTAACTCTGAAGATTTTAACAGCATTGCTGTTGCTTCATATGCTTTCTTTTGTAAGTTGCGAGTATTTTTTTGCTACTCTGATAGAAAAATGACGGCATTTATACAAACGTCTTCCCCGACCACATCATATTTTTATTTAAACACTTTAATTGATCATGCGGACGTTCTAGGTCAGGTACTTTTAAATCTGTTTAAGATAACTCTATGATTGTTCATTTTATAACATATAGACCTTAACAGTTTCCTGTTGTATTTTAAAATTTCATTGTTTATAATTCTTCATATCTCTAGAAATGCAACACTGGGTTTGAAGATCTTTAACAT